CATGGTGAGAAAATTAAAATCATATGACTAAACCAGTTCCTAGTATAAACAATATCATTCAGAATGCAATTTATCAGTGATAAACGGAAGCAAATTTTAGAGACATTGATCGAATTCACCAAACCGTATGTTAATGAATCGTCACTTCAGTGGCGTTTCTGGTGTTTGAACAAACCCGATGGACCTAAAAAGAAGAAATCCTTCTATAGATGTTCTCTGTCTCCTCCATAGCCTCTACCTCTACTACTTTGTCAGTGTTGTAGGGCATGCCTCATTTCCCTTGCAGAAGCAACGACTCCCTTAATATCGTTAGCTATGACCGCCATGCGAGGTTGCACAAGCTTTTCTTCTCTTCTTCAGGAATCTTCCTTTGCCTCTCTCTCTCTCTCTCTCTCTCTCTCTCTGATCTTATTCTAACTATGGGATTTCACGTAACAGGAACAGAAAACATGTATTCCATATCAAGATACTATGATGAAACGTAGTGTACAAGAGTTAGATCCCAAATTATTACACTGGACTAAGTTAAGTATGTTCTTGAGATGAAAATATTGAATTACCTCAATTCCGTGACAGTAAGAATCTCATTCAAACTAAATTAATAAGCTTAATTGACATCAACCCTGAAAAGGTAAAGGAAAAAACTAAGATGAATGACACTAAGATAGTATGATAATATAAACAAATGCATAAACAAGCCAAAAAAAGAAACACAGACAATAAATATGCCACCATTTACATACATACATACATATATATGTATTTATAAGACGTCACATTGTATTTATCCAAATGCATAGAAGAATTAGGTTTATTTAATGCTAAATAACGTTTTGAACTTAAACTGAAAATGACCCAAAACATATTTTTTAACTTTTCCTCTTAAACAAATTATAAAATTGAACTACCGAAAGGAAAGATAATACATATATATGTCTATATATATATATATATATATAGGGTAAAGACAAAAGGGCAACTCAAAATCAATACAAAATTTACATGGGTTTTGTTTTCTTCATGCTACTTGTGGAATTCCACATTTACCCCTCACAAAGGTCAAAATAACCCCCCAAATAATAAGGTTAACATTGGAAATAAATTTCCCAAAAAGAAAATGAAAAAGAAAAAGCAAAACTTTACCAATTAAATTGGTCCATCCACTCTGTGCCTAACAGCCCACCCCACTATATGCTATAACATAGTCATTGCCAATTATGCTAAATCATAATAACACGCACATACCCTTTAATATATATATATATATATACATACCCTTTAGTGTGTGTATATATATACACATACCCTTTTCCACATATCTTTTCTTGCAATCTAAGCCTGGCCTTAGGTTATTATAACACCCAAAACCCACTTCAAAAAAACAAGACTTGACCTCTCTCTTGTGGCAAAACACAAATATTATGACCTCCGTCTGCATATCCAACTGTGTCAACGATGCTCGTGACCCGCGCATCCCGGTTCGAGCTACATACGTGAACCTCTACAAGTGGCCGGAGTCGGATGCGGAGTTTGTCCGGTCAGTGAGCCGGAATGGATCGAGAATAGAGGCCGGAACGAGGGTGGTGGACAGTATCTCCTGCAGGCAGATGTATCTTAGGAGCTACACCTTTTCGAGAAAAGAAACTGTTCCGGAGAAGACGAAGAAGTGTTTTGGCAGAGTGAGGGAGAAGGTGTCCTCTCATGGAGTTACTGGGAGGAGATCGAAAGAGAAAGTTATGATGGGTAAGGGTAAAAGAAAGTGTTTGGTTCTGAGGAAAGTGAAGGAAGTTTCTTGCTCTGCTTTGATTAGGTTTTTCCACAGGTTGTTGTCTTGTGCTGCTAGTGTAGATGTTGTGGATCAAAAAGATGTTGGTTTCTGTTAATTTCATCTCATATTATTCAAACTGAAAAGAAAAACAAAATGGGGATGATCATATTTTTTTGTTTTTGTTTCTTTGATATAATATATATATATATATATGTATGGTTTTAACTTTTAAAAGAGATCATGGTTATTGGGCATGCCTTCTTGTGTTTGTAATGTATGGAGATTATAGAAAACATATAAAGTAGGTGAATATGTTAAGATGGGTCTTGATTAATTTGTATATTTTTGACGTTTATATATATGGGTTAGAATCTTTGGGAACTTCTCTAAATTTTTTGTCTTTTACTAATTAGATTTAGTGGGCAGCGAATAATAACATAATTTCTCACGAAGTTACATAAGAAAATATGAAAATAAAGAATACTAAGTAAAGAAAAAAAGCCTGAGAGACTGCCTTAATTGGTAAAAATTAAGTTGGCTGTTAAAAGTGAATGGTGGTTTACCCAATTGAACCTGCTTTCTTTTCTTTTTGACCAGATTAAAACGACATGGTATTAAAAAGCATATATATATATATATATATATATACGCACGTATATACATACATGTATACTTAAATTAAAGGGAAAAAAGAAGAAATTCCAAAAGATGGTTAAAAACAGAAAGCGACGAAGACAATAGGTCAAAGCAGGTTGGTTCTTCATTGGATTCTGTTCATAATCAACTGATGTGTTTGACCAGAAAATCAAAGATTTATCTGATAATTTCTCTCTAAGATGGAAAAACCTGCATTGCTAGGGTTTGGTAAGATTATGACGCCCCTGTCTAATTTCAATTTGGGTATTTTTGCCATAATCTTTTATATTATGATTTTTACTACTAACATAATATATATGATATATTTATTGAATCTGACTGTAGATGAAATTAATTCTTAAACTGCACATAATTTTCATAAAATAAAAACAAAAAATATAAAATATAAAATTTTAACGTAATTTGATAGTGTGTCTATATTAACAAAAAAAATCGATAAAAAAATATTTTATTACGATAATTTAATACTACATCACTAATATATTAACAAATATATATATATATATATAAAGAAACTAATAAAATTTTTTCAAACAAATTTTTTTAAAAATATACATAAAATATTTCCTATGATAATACAAAATATCTTAAAATATATATAAAATATCAATTAAGATAAATATAAATTATTTTCAGAATAAATATTATTAAAATTTAAGTCATATGAACACTTATTGAAAGTCGGAGTTCAATATATATATATATATATGTTAACAATCAAGATTTTATTTTTCGCATTATTCTTTAATAACTAAAACTAATTAGTTCTTGATTTATTTGGGTTTAGATAAAATTTTTATTTACTTTGAATTGAAAAATTTACGAGAAAAATTATTGTAGTTTAACCGTAATTTAATTAACTTTTAGTATTTATTTACAGATAAATGTTTATTCATTAGTGAATTGATCTTTAAAAGATTGGATATGACTCGAGTTCGAAGTTTATTTTTTATACGAGAATGAGATATTATATGAACTAAATGTTATTGAAGAATTAGGAATTGGGTGCATGGTTTGAGGATAATGAAAAAGTGAAAAATCTATATTCAAATAGTTGCAATAATTGAAGAAATTAACAGTAGATAGATAATTATAGAGGATTAATGTTTAATCTAGTAGTAGTAAGTGGGAGAGGCATTACACATATACACACACACATATATATATATATATACATACATAGACATTCATAATTAACACTGAGAAAATGAATTAAATCATTTACTGGGAGTAATTATTAGGAGTGGGTTTTAATGGCAAAAGGAAGAAAAGAAAGGGAGCATGGCATGGGTGACATTTCTGGC